GAGCAGATCGCCATTGGATGCTGCAAAATGGGTTTGCGGTGGCGAGGCTTAGGCTAAGGCTTAGGCTTAGGCTTAAGCTTAAGCTTAGGTTATGCATAGGCTTAGGCTTGGGCTTAGGTTTTACTAGATCCGCCAGAACAAGAAAAAGGTTTATTACCAAATCCAGCAAGCGGCGAAGCTATGGCACCAACTATAAAAAACTGCCCCATCATGCACGCGAAAATATAGGTTCGTTTCCGCCTTTCATAGTCAAATACGTAGTAGGTAGCCGCTAGTCTAAATATGTTTATATCAAGCTAGATAAACCAAATTTTTACCTTTCGTTTATCAGGGTGAAAACAAAAAACAGGCTGACGGTTAGCAAAAAGTAACGCATCACAGAGCCGAGCGCCATCGGCCAATCGTGAATTAGCCATCCTGGAAAAAAAACTTAATTTTTGTTATTCTTTATCGTTTTAGTAGCTTGTATTTTTGTGTTTTGGATACCCTTTTCCTACCTGTTAACTCGACAAACTCAAATTGATAAAACAACGAGATAGATCTGCCGATGAAATTCAGTTGCAGCACGATTGAAAAGAAGAGAAAGTATTTTTGAAGATTGCGATGGAAGGTCGATGTTCGTAGTAGGATTTTTATAAATGGGAGATAGGCGATAAATGTAAATATATGCAGTATAAATTCGACTAAGGTGACGATATATAGAAAAACGGCGTACGAAAAATCCTGAAAGATTTTTTTAAGTAAAAAAATTCGCAAAACCGTTCGGTTCTTCGCATCGCAAAACATGGCGACCATGTAGTCTGCTTGAAAATCCTTGGAGTAATAATACATAATTTTGTAGTTTAAAATTATAGATGAACCTCTTGCAAACTTATATTTGGTTTAGAATATAGCTTGGACGGTAAATAGAATGAAAAATGACGAATTAACCTCAAAGCGGCTACTACTCGTAAGTAGTACCAGAAATTCACCTGCCTTCTGAAAAAAATGATACATAGAGCTAATTGGATGGTTGATCAGTGCAGTTGAGCACCCAAAAAAATGTACCATAAAATGTAGTCAGAAACGGCTTCAGGGAGATCTTTCAAAATCCGAAAATTTTTCCGATTTTCTGTCTTTTCCTCTCGCAATTTGTTCAAGTGAACGCTTTCTTATGTTTATATTCGTGTATTAAATGCATTGTATTTAATCCGGAATCAAGCTTATTTTCATTTCTAGAAATGCCAGTTATTTGATTAGCATATTCCGCATATCTTGCCGCCGTGCATTGGAACTCTCCGTAGTCACGACTTGCCAACACCATGCTACTCTGTACATAATGCTGTTAAAAGCCTTATTTTAAAGAATATTAATGTCGTCAACCTTCTTAAGTTTTTCAGTGTTTTTGTAGTGTCCTTTTAACTTGTCGTGTTTAAATAACAATGACCCGTTGATGCATGTAAAATAAGTATAAGCCCCCAAAGTTTTAACAGCATAAAAATATACTAAGACATTTAAAAGCGTATTCACTTCGATCACCACGCATTGCTATAATACTGAAAATAGGCATTTGTTTCCGCTTGAATATCGGTCGATGGGGCGCTCAACGAGTTCGTTTCCGAACGTTTTCCAGGCCCCAAAATGGGGAACATGATGTCGACAAATTTCTGGCGCCACTCATCTACGGCCCAGAGCGAGGTTAGCAGGAAGAAGAGGACATATCTTAAATACTTTAAGAAAACGTAACAGATAATTACAAAGCCGTGGCCACTTCCATCCAGCATCCAATGAATGGGAACCGCTCATCGAAGATGATAAAGTGAAAAATGGCGAGGCCACCATTGGAAATTCCAGATATCGCTAGACAGAAGACGATTTTCTTTACCATCTAAAATATTTTGACGGGTTTATTTAAGAAAATTTGTTTTCTTTATTAAACTATTCTAAAAATTATTTTTTGGTACCTCCAGTGCCCTCAAGTTCTCCGAAACTTGATATCGCATGCTCAGGTGATAGCCCCGTTTTCCCGGGCGCAGATCCCTTGATAATTCTTTTAGTAATTTGTTGTTGTGTTTTAATAAGCAATAATACGCCTAAATTGCAGGATAGAAAGTAAAGATTATATCGAATCTTGCCAAAGTCTGCCAGCCAACCATAAATATCGAAAGTGGGACCAGAAAGAAGCAGAGGAAAACGATAAGGCGAGCCCCGGAGACGTCTAAAAATAGTATTGGTATAGTAATAGATGACGAATGAATAATTAATGAATGGCCAAATCCATTATTATTATTATGGCTACTTATTAAGCTACCAGATGGTTCCAGTCGCTTCGCGACTCCATCTGGCCTTCGGGTTAGCCTCCATGTAATACACCTACCTATCTACCTGCTTCCACTAACTACTTCGATACCTTCCTGACGGCTTTAGACCCTCTCCTAGCCGAAATCCCCTTCAAACACTACCTAAATACGTTCCCGATGGCTTATGATACCCCCCCATGGCTGAAATCCCCTTCAAAAACTACCTAAATACCTTCCTGATGACTTCAGATACCTCCCCTAGCCGAAACGCCCTTAAAAAACAAAAATAACGACCGACCGGATGGAATGAGGGAAAAAAGAAATGAAATCCTCCGTGAAAATTTTCATCCACGAAACGCGCGCGACCTGGCTCACTATGTCCAAAATCCCCCAACCTCCATCCCCCACGCCTTTTACTAAGGAAAAAACTTTCAAAGTTAATTTTACTAATTTAAACTAAAACTTTTTCATAATTTTTTTATCAGTTTGGGGGTTTCTGACCACGCTCTATCCGAATCCGAAGAGAGCTAAGCTCTAGCTCTTTTCCCCTTCGAGTTGAATTCGGCTTCAGACAGACAGACGCGTCAAGAAAATTATTATAGTTGATTCCACGTTAAGAAGACTGATGCTTTCATCAATTTCAAACGCGTAACATCTACTATATATAAATTTCTAATGTCCGTGCGCCCGACCGACCGGGAATTCAATCCCGCCGCGATCGCCCTGTCTACCGTAGTCGGAGACTGAAAATTTTCACCGGAGCCGTGCCGTTTCGCATTTTCCCCCCGGGAGGGCCCGCGCTGAACCCCCGCGGAGCGGGGGGTAAGCGCTGGTGTCGACTTAAATCTGTTTTATACCTTTTTCTTGTGTGAACCCGATTAACGTTTGTTTCTAATGTATCAAAAAAAAAACATAGTAAAAAATAATTATTCGCCAAGTCTCTAAAACTTACAAAATCCAATCAGTGGGCACACGGTTGTTCCAAGAATCAGAAACGAAAACATGATAATCCCAAAAATCCAGGAGCGCTTGTGCTGTTCGTAGTCTTTGATGAAGTAGGTGGCCGCAATCCTAGATTCATAGTTTAATGCACTGTTATTAAATACCTACGATATCGGCTCTAGTCATAGAAATCTAACAATTTTTTAGCACCCACCTTTCATTGATAATGACAAAAAACGATAGCGTGCTAACGCAGGCCAGAAAGTATCGCAACGTGCAGGGCAGTAATAACAGCCAATCCTGCGCTAGCCGGCCTAATTTTTCTGTTAATGAGGTTTAGAATATACACCAACCTGTAACTGATACCACCTCAAATTCATAGAAAAGCAAAATCGTTCTGGTAGGGAAATTCAGCTGTAATAGGAGCGCAAAGAAGACGATAAACTTTCGCAAATTGGGGTGAAAAAGTCGACTTTCATGTACGATTTTTATAAATGGTATATAGCCAGCCAAACTAATGAAATGGATGCCGAACTCGAAGAGTGTGATCGTGTAGATGAACATCGAGTAGAGCGAGTCCTAGAAAATCTTTTGAAAAAGATGTTTAGGCAAACCCCATCATTCGTCGCATTACAAAACATTGGCAGCAAGTAGAGACGTTGAAAATCCTTGGAATAATAATACATTATCATGCGACAAAATCGATAGTTGTTAGAAGTTTAGCGAAGAGTTCTCAGGTTGCGTTCCCGGACCCGAAATTCCCTGTCTTCGGCGAAAAAAGGAGGCCCTCGGCTCTCATTTGTGAAGGAGGGTTTTTGGGCGCAATGTTTGTAGCCTAGAAATTGTTAATGAAAGAAAACTTGTATAAAACTTTTATTCACCGAGATCTATGTAATGCCCCGTAATCAAAATGAGATAACAGATGTGATTTGAACAATAAAAAATTTCCTGAAACAACGAATTGACAAAAATCACAAGACAAAAATAAAAAATCAAGAAAAAGAAAATTTTTCACGTCAAAATCTCTCCATTCATGTTCTGGCGTTCTTCGTTTAGGTAGTACGTCCAGTACGCAATGTTGAAAATCAGGAAAGACGCTATAATAATTCGATTATACATTAAAAACTAGTTAATTTACCTGGAAACGCAAATCTGGACACCTGATCAACGGTGTGAGCTTTTCGGGAGTACTTGAGCGACTGAAAAAATGAAATGATTCCGATCCCTTGGTCTCCGTTTTACCTGGCAAATCAACATTGCGTAATGCCCAGCTTGTTTCACGTGAATTCGCGTTGCAGGGTTATCAGTATCGTAATCGGCTTCACCGTCGCTGTTGGTAGCTGAAAAATGTGTCCTTGGTTTTACGCTTCCCAAAGGTTTCTTGTTGCCCCACCACTCTTGAGAACGCGGAAAAACGCATTTATAAACGTTAAAAACGTTAAAACGCTGATTTAGAAACAAAAAGTTTAGAGCGCAAAAGCTACTGATGCGCATAGCAGCCCCGCGTAGGTCTTGGTGCGCTACGTAGCGCTCCTATATACACAGGACTTCGTGCCTTTGATGCCCTATCGTTTTTTGCTTCAACCCCTCTAATCGTAATTTCTGAGCCTGAACCTACCATAAATCGCGCTCCTCCCATTCTCGCTCGAGCTCTGCGACCTCTCAGCGAGCACTCCGAATTTGTGCGCTTTTCGCATATAGGAATTGACGACGGCGAATTCTAGCAGTACGCCGAAGATGAACATCATGCACATCCCGTAGAAGTAGTCGATGGCTTTCGCGTAGGCCACCTAGCGAAAACGTTGCTTGAAATTTACAGAAAACTTACAGGTGGCAGTCCGTATCTAATACCATTTCCTTGAGTCGATAGTGTGAGCAAAGTTGTGAACGATAAGGAAACTCTTGCTGGGACCTAAATACAGGGCTTAGCAAGGGGTTATAACTTATTTTTATTATCCTTTTCTTCAAAACTGATCATTCATCCATTTAGCTATTTTCTGCTAAATTTTAGGATATTTTAGGTTATTTTTAACATTTTCATGCCTCTGGCTTTCACGCGAGGATTTTTACGAGCATTTTAGAATCTTGATTTTCTTGCTTTTCCTGTGTTTTTTTTTCAACTTACAGCTCTCCTATCGATCCAAAACGAAACCCATGAAATCGCTACGATGAGGGAGGTAGGAAGATATGACTAAATCAGGAATTAATGCTGGATTTCATGATTTTTATACCTGAACCAAATGGTACCCGATTGCCCTTTCCAAGTTCATCACCCCGACGAGGCAGGAGAAGTTTCCTAAGTCGAAGTAATCAAGAAAGTTGACAAATTCTACCTCTCCTGCTAGAATTGTGCGTAATGGTGTACATAAATTCCCCATTACAGTACATCCCGTCGTGGCCGGTGATGTGGAATTCGGGGAGTCCTGAAGATTGCAATTTCAAAATTCCCCTAAACCGCAGTACCGATTTCTTTATTCATCCGAATCGGCATGTCGTCGAACCAGGTGACGTTCATTTCTTCGACGACGTGCGCGTCTAAAATTTGAATCATAGCCTTAAAAAATTTAAAAAGGAACCTGACCTTTAGGCTCAAACCCGAACCAAACTTGGTAGCTCAGAACTTACAAGAAATGATCTTTATCAAGCACTGCTGAGAGTCCAGAGGATAGTCTTTTAGGTGCAAATTGCAGGCGACATTTAGAGTTACTCTGAAAAAGGTATGGTTTTTACAATCTATCCATCTTGTAGTCTGTAGTCTGTAATCTCAAATATACCTCGTGCCATAAGCAATCGTTCCGGTTGGACCAACAAACATGTTAAAATTATGCACCATGACCTCATGGAAGTAGGCAGTTCTTGCGTTAGCAAAATAGAGATCCGGCAGCCAGATGCTTTTTAGGACGCTGTCGTCTGAAATATTATTCTTTTTATCTCTCGCTCTCACTTCTCTCTCTCCCTCTCTTTCTCTCTCTCTCTCTCTCTCTCTCCTCTCTCTCTCTCTTGCTCCCTAAAACTAACCATTTATCAGCACATATCCCGTCTCATTGTGTGCCAACGACGGATCGTGCCAAGACATGTACATGTATAGATCCATATCGAATGTCTTAATGATATAATTTAATACTTAAGTGCCGAATTTTGCTTTAAAAAGCATGGATCTCAAGGTATAACTCACCATTTCTGTACTCCGAAAATTCCCAAGGCTTTCCACATAAAACCCGACATTTACGTTGAGCGAGCCATTGGCATATGGCTAAAGATAATGATTGGATTATTATTGATTTTTCGATACCTTTGGAATCTCCGCTTCGCTTGATTTTTCGTAGATTGGATGAAGGGCGTTTAGAAGTGATATAGAACATAAGAGGATGTGTATTGAAAGCGGCAGCATCTGAAGCAAATAACGTTACATCTTAAGCTTTATATTTTCACGAACGGCAAAAAAGAAGATAAATAAAAATCAATTAGAGCTCAAAAATTGTTCAAATTTTCCGACTCGCAACTTGAAGAAAGGAAATTCAAGTCGATTAGTCCGGAAATCAGGAGGCTTTCTAGTGCGGGACGCCGGGCCGATTGTTGAGCCGCTCCCCTCCCACGGGACTAATATGGATAGCGGGGGAGCTGAAACTCTTTTTGGTCTGAATGCTGGAACTCGAGCCCAAAAAATATTTTTGCTTACAGGACCAAAAAATTACGACGAGACGTAGGACTATAGTTTAGTCCGAAGCTGAAAAGTCGTGTTCCTCTAGACGTGGCTGACCGGGAGCGTGCTCAAAGGTGTAACAGGGCAATAGCTGGCTATGAGTTCAAAAAATTTTAAGGTAATAGAACTGTTCCGTAACGGTATGGCTGGGAGCACGAGCTGAAGAAGCCAATGGCGCCATCCCTTTGTAAGTGGGGTCGCCCAACACGGGCGCTTGGCCCAGGCCCCGGACTATCTAGCTAGCCAGCCAGAGACCAACGCCCCGGGCGTCGGTGGTTCAGTGGGTAGCACGCTCGCCTAGCCACGCGCGGCGACCCGGGTCTGATTCCCCGGCCGACGCAAATTCTGCTTTTGAAAATCCGATGGGAGAAACTCTATTTTGAAGACTCGGCAAGAAGCCGCGAAAAATGCGAAAAAGAAGCTTCGACCTTGAGTCTTTGCCTAGCCATTGTCCTTGAGATCTGATTTCGTCAGGGATGCTGGACTGTGTTTTTTGAGGGCAGATCCGATTCATGGCGTTTTTTGAAGCGGAAGATGTACTTTTTTCTTACAAACCGGGTCGCTGTAAGTTTAGCAAAGAGAATAGCTATCAAAAAAAAATAGAAGCGGAAACCGACGCCCCAAAAAATTGCTAGTCAAAAATAAGGATTATTTTCTACCAATACCAATTATTGTTATTGCTACAATTAGCGTGAAGGATTATTTTTATTAGGACCTAGCATTACAATTAATCGTGAAAAATGAAAATGACAATTCTGAGTCATCTAGCCTCCCAAAACTAGAATTTTAAGATGTTCTAACTTTCAATATTTCTTCTAGGGTTAGCAAGTTTTTCAGCAAGACCAGTCTACCCCCAAAAAAACCCGATTCTTCCATTCGAAATAAAATAGAGCATTCAGAAAATCTTTTTGCTCCCGGCCGGCGAACCCCTTCCATTCGCGCTTTCTTCCAAAAAGCGGCCGAGAAAGGAAACCAATTCGCGGGGGAATCAAATTGGATGAGGAGGAGTAGGAGCGGCTAGACTTGTTGGCTCGATAGAGTCTGGAAGACCAAAAACTTTTGTTCGGGATTGCCCACGTTGCTGGGGCTGCAAAAAGCTGGCTTTCGAGGAGACAAAGTATCTTGTCTGGGCTGAATGCTACAAAGAGAAAGGGCGGAAAAAAAACTGAAAAATTGCATCTTCAAACACGAAAACGAAATCGAGCTTAACCTAAGATTTTCCCTGCGTTTTTGGGTGGAGACCTCAGAAAATTGAGAAATTTTAGTTTTAAAATTTGAATAAATGCACAATGGAAAGAAAAAAATGGAAAAATAAAATCCCCACGTCTGGACCAACTCTCTACCTTATTTTTTGCGTGACGTTTTCGGCTGTTCGACCTTTTGTAAGTTTTTGTAAGCCGAAATGTAACGTTGCAGATACCAAAAATCTCTTTGGTTGTTAGTAATCTCGCCTGCACAAAAATAACTAAAACGAGTTTTAGGGAGAAAGAAAGAAAGAGAGGGAAAGACGACACGGGGCAGATGAGTGGCACTAAAAATTCAGAAAAACGGACTCTAACTCAAAAGACACAACAATTCACTTTGAATAGCCAAAAACAAAGAGATCCTTGATTCCGGGTGGCTGTCAACCAAGCAGGGCCCGTTGGAAAACACCAAAATCGCATTCGGATTCCACTTTTTTCGGCTTCGCGGAACAAAAACTCTATTGTTTTTTGTAGTATATCTTTGCTTAAGACCCCCATTTAGTAGCGCAGATAAGGAAAAAAATCGTCAGAAATTGAAGAGGGAGCACGAGAAAAGCAGCTTAAAATAGTTGGAGCTCAAAATCCAAAGAAAGGAAAATGCGAAGCAGCCGCCAAGCCAAAGGCGAGCCAAAAGCAATAAATTCCTAGAAAATTTTAACCCCATGAAACTTTTTCCGGGTTCCTCCACCAGGTAAGCCAGGGCGACGAGTTTTTGACCGAGGCGAATCATGGGCCCTAAGAAGCGAAGGGCCTCCTTGTGGCCCATTTCGGCCCCATTCCCCTATGCATCATTCGCCAATCCCCCCGGGGGAATAATGGAGTTTGCTAGAGTTTGCTTGCTCCCTCTCTCACTCTCTCTCGCTCTCACGCTCGCTCCCTCTCCTCTTATCTGCATTTCCATTTTTGTTGCTCCACACCCCCGTTCCGGGGGAGGTGTTTCTCCTGAAGAATGGCCCATTTTTTGAGCAACTCTACGGACCCCTAGGGATCGAAGTGCACACGTCAGCCCGGCGGGACCCGAATTTGGCCATTTTTCTTTGTGTGTGAGTGTTTGTGAGGCTTTTAGGATAAGCAATTATATAAGCTTTTGGGTCACTTTTGGAATAGAACAGAAGAGAAATAGGGAATTGCAATAGAATGTAATAGAAATATCCGCAAGGAAAAAGCGCAAAGACAGCTTGGACTTCTGAATGGATAAAAGTCCGCAGATAGAAAAGAGACGCGCGGCTCGGGCTAATTAAAAAGGGGATTAATTGGTGAGATACTACCAAACTAGTACTGGTAAAAGATGCTGCGGCCTTTCTTGGGGGCTTAGAAGTAGATCTAAATGAATGGAAAATTTAAACCCCCGCATCTAAAATGAAACGCAAGAAAACGGTGCATTGAAAAACCGATAGTGAATCAGGTAAGCTTTCTATTTTGTTAACAACTCTAACTTCTAACAATTAAAGATCGAAAATCTACACTAGTATCGCATTTTTTCTCGACAGATACACACAGTGCGTTAGAAAGCGCTTAAAGGTAGTTCCGAATATTGTCAAAATCGCAAGTTTTCGTAAGTATATCTAGGCGCGTCACGTATTCGCCGATAGAACGTTTCAGAAAAAGTTGTTTTTTGGCGCTGCTAGTGCCTTTAAGCAGACATCTTGATGTTGCTGGATAAGAAAATTTGCTTGCGACAAATGCGATATAATGAAATTAAATTTTTTTGTGATAAAATTCTTCAAATAGTCCCAGGCTGAAGCTCAAAAAAATTCTAGACAAATATCCAGGCCCAAGCCGTCTAGGGCCGTCCTAAATAAGGCGCCCCAAGGGAGTCGAGCCAACTCAAGCCACCCGCCAAAAAAGTCCGAGTTCGAAGTTCGTCAAAACCGTTTGGCGAACTCTTTTCGGAGAGCGTATCCCGAGGTTGAGTTCTGCTCCGAGCTGCTCTTCTGCGCTAGGTTCGTGCGGTTCGTCATTTGAATTAGATGAGGCCGGAGACGCTGGCAAACTAGCGAATTTGGGCTAGAAAATAGAAAAAAAATTTCTTTCTATTGATACCGGACTTTTTACGGTATTTTACACCTTTCCATGCACATGCCTTCACATGCCAGCGCAGACTTCCTAGAAAAAGGCACCGAAATCAGGTGAGCCAGAATTACAATTCAGCCACGGGGTCAAAAATAGGCATTCGGAGGCACCGATTGGAATCGAAAACAGACATGAAATCCGTTCGCTGCGACTCCACGGCTTTCCGAGCCTCTTTTGCTAAATTTTTTCATCATGAATCCTAGGTACAAAACCCATGTTTATCATTCATGCCACGAGAAAGACCATCAGATACCCAAAATAACTCAACAGCGGCTAAATTCTTGTTTTTCTGGTTACAGTAACGGTATAATTTGTAAATTGGGGTGGGTGTAAAAATCACACAAAGACTAACGAGAAATTATGGGTTCCGCACGTCCGGGTGTGCCAAAATAGCGTTTAGCGCTTGGAACTAGGTACGACACGATACGAATTACCAATATCGCGTAAAAAAGTCACAAAGATAGAAGACACATCTTTTATGCTAATTTTGGATCCGTTCGTGTCATTTTCTGCGTTTTTAAGAGGTAGCCTGCTTCGGATTGTGCCTTCCTAGTGCTCTCCTCCCTTTAAAAAATCCAAGTGCTACAGTAGGACGAAACTGCTTGCCTATTGATCAGTAGCGTTCCCCTCCCGCCCAATGACCTTCCCGGAAGATGGCAACATTAAGTTATTAATGACCCGAACCCCTCAAGAAGAGAACAAGACAAGAAAAAGCCCACCCTCAACTTGACGATCAGACAGAAAAGCTCCAACTAAGACCAGAGCCCCGTCGGCGATGCATTATTGTTTTTCGCGGGACGCGGCAGTGGCGGGGGTGCCGGTTGCACACGGGCGAATAAAAAATTCGGATCGCCGCCCCTGACACCCCATCCAAAATTCAGCAAAAAACGGGACATAAGGCGAAAAAGTCGGCGCAAGGTCAAGAATCGGCAGGCAAATCGAGGAGGGGCACGAAAATGGGGGAGTCGCACTTGCACGTAGGGAATTAAAGGAACCTGGGAGCGTTCTGGAATCAGCAAATCAAAGAAGAAAATATTCATGGAGTAAATGCTCCAAAAAATAGATGGTTTCCGTCGTGGCCTGCAAGTTCCGCTGCAATCCTCTGCAATCCGCCGCCCTGCCCACTTGGGGCAATATGTACTCTGGGCTGCTGCTGCTGCTCCTCCTCCTTTTCTTCGTCGAAGCGGCGAATATGAAAATTGCTGGGGGGCTCGCATGTGTGCGCTTGATGGAGCAAAAAAACGAGAGAGACAAACATCACTAGAGAGCGAGCGAGGGAGAGAGAAAGAGAGTGAGAGTGGGAGCGATAGAGCGAGAGAGAGAGCGAGAGAGAGAGAGACAGAGAGAGAGAGTGACGTGTAATTGGTCGTTTGTTGATGTGGGTGTAGGTGCACTGCTCGAGAAGCGGGACTGAGCAATGGCCGTGGTGCCGATTTCTGACATCTGTGTTTGTCTGTGCGCCTTTGCGTGGATGCGCTTGGGCCCAGATGAGACGGCCGCGACCTCGTTTTACCCTATTTTATGGGCCAATCCGGCCTATACAGCTTCGGGGTAATTCCGGGCCCATTTGCCCCGTCAACAATATGAATGGCATGTGGCCGACGAACTTGCGCTCCGGCCATCTTCCGGCTATTTGGCGCCCTTTTTGTTAGTGTGCCAATTTTTATGGCTACTGTATTACTTTACTGAATTTTCCGGGCGGTCGGCTAACGATTAAAAGCCCAAATAAATTCAAATAAAATTGTAAAAAGAAGTCTCTTCGGCCTCTGGAACCACTACCTGTATCAAATTCTCAAAAAGCAAAAAGACTTGCGTCGGCCGGGAATCGAACCCGGGTCGCCCGCGTGGCAGGCGAGCATTCTACCACTGAACCACCGACGCTCGAGGTCAGAGCGGCGCCGGGGGCTAGATAGACCCACAGTCCGCGCAAGCCATGCTACAAATCCTAACGCCAGCAACCCACTAAAATCGATAGTCGCGGTGTTTTCGCGTTTTTCCGGAGCGTCAGGTATTCGTTTTTCAGTATTTTGTATACCCTAATTTTCATATACTAGAAAAGCATAAATACTTCACGCTACGTCATTTTTCATCACGTTTTCAAGCGTACATTTTCGGGTATTCAATATCCTGTAAAATCAGATTGTTCGTAATACGAACAACACCCAATTTCCTGGGCGACACACACACACACACACAAATCATCATTTTCTACATGGGCTGCTCTGGCCCCTCGCGAAGTTCCGAATATTTTGCTCACCGCGCTGTTTCTCAGCGTCGTTTGTTCGTTAATCGGTCCTTGGTAAAACACACTTTCATAGATCAAAAACCTAATTTCCTATTCAATGAATATTTATTACATATCCTCCTGCTCCTGCTCCTCGCGCGGGCGTACTGTGTGTTTGTGGAGAGCATGCATATCGCAGAGAGTCGATTAGAAAAAATGTCGGGGGCGGGCCAAAAAAACGGGTGGTGTGAGAGTGATAGAGAAAGGGGAGCTTGTTACCAATTACAGACGAAAACCAGGGAGAGGATTAGAGAGTGATGGGCCAAGAAATATCACAAATTCATGGAACGTCGGGCTGTGGGCGGCGGGTCACTAGGGGCAATTATCACGAACCTATACACAACGGGCTGCGGTGGAATCGTAAGAGAAAATGGTATAGAAATTTGGGCAAGAAGTGGTATGAGGAGTGCCAGAACAACAGATGACCACACATACAGGGGGCTACTTCTAGTGCAAAGGGCCTGGGGAGGCGTAGATTTTAAAGGGATAGTGACACTATGAAAAGCTAGAATTCACAGGATTAGAGCAACTACTTAGTCACCGTCCCTTTGAAATACAACTCTTCACGCCCGAAAAAACTACACACAAATTTCGGCAAGGCAGTCAGGGAATACGGGGGTGAACTACGCGGGACGCCTATACACGCTACCGCTAGTTGGCTTTAACGTTTGTGGTCGATCAAGTCGACATTGAGCTTGAAGAAGACGTACGGGTAGTACTCGCCCATACCCAACGACATCAACGCCGGGCTGTCCTCGAAGTTCTGGAAAATATATGTAAATTTCGGTGAAAAATTGGACCAAATAAATATATCTAATTAGAATTTACAAAATTACTACTGAGGCAGCTAGAATAAATATACTAAATTAGCTCGAATTCTCTAAATAAACCATATCAAGCAAATAAACCCTGGAAAAAGTTAGAACCCGCTAACCTATGCATAGTAAATTACCGAGAATTAACTAAACAAACATGTTAAAATAGCTAATTACTTTAAAAGCTAAAATTAGCTACAATTAACCATGCCAATTGATACTAGAACATCTAGATAAATACAAACCCAAATTAGCTAGAAAACCCCAG